ATTATGGGACAGAGTTGTTTCAATGGTAACTATATGCAGGTCCCTATTTTTATTATGATTATTTCTAACAATAATAAAATTGTGGGCGGATAAAATTGTTTATTATAAATAAATTGCGCATAAATTTAACATACACAAAAAAATAAACAGTGATATATTTTTAACAAAAAAAATAAAAATCTCTTATTAGCGCAAAATTTTAAAAAAAATATTTAAATTTTAATTGTAGTGAGTAGCTAAAAGTTATACAAATATAATTTTGCCCTTACTTTTTAGTATAAAAATAATGATGGAATGTTAAATATGAATATTTGTTAACAAAATAGATATTTTTAAAATAATTATTTAAACAACCCAAAATATAAATATGACTTTATGAGTAGACAAAAAATAATTATATTATTATAGACTGTTGAGATATTTTAGATATTCAATTTTATATTTAGTAGATTTATTTTTATATTTGATCTTATCGATAAATTAGATTACTTAGATTTGAATCTATCAAATCTGTTATGTTTTGTACTCCTTATGATCAATAATACTCCCTCAGTCCAACTAGAAAGTATACATGTTTCTATTTTGGGACGTCCAATTACAAAGTAAATATTTCATTAAATACCTTACTTTTTTCCACAAATACCCCTACTTTACATCACATCATTACTTTCACACCAAAAAACAAGAACAAAAATGTCATTACACTACTTTTAACTACCTACTATAATTAAAATACTATTATTTTTTAAACACCACGCCAAAAGTAATTGTATACTTTTTTTTTGGACAGAGAGAGTATAATTTTATTATTTTTTTCCAAAATTTATAAGCCCCGAAAAAAAAAAGGAAAAGGAAAAGGAAAAGAAAAAAAAATAAAAATAAATTTTGTAGATTATAGTAGAGCCTTCACAAACACGGTAAGTAAATTAAATATCAACTTTAAAATATGCCAAAAAAAAAAAAAAAAAACAAAACAAAAAAAGGAAAAGAATCTCAAAATATATAATCTTACCCGCCTTATATAATTAAAAATTAATAATTATCGTAACTCCTATTTAAGAAATTAAATAATTGCAATTATATATATTATTTTTTATGGAAATAATTATTTAATTATCCCTATATATATATATATGTATATATGTGTATATATAATGGGATCTTCATCTTCATCTTCACCTTGACTGTCATATATTATACTATATTATTATCCATGGCAAAACCTATCTTCTTCATCCTTCTTGCCTGCTTGGCCGTGGCTGCTTTCTGCAACAACTCTGTTTTAGGTATACATATATATAATTTTATTTTTTATTTTTACAATAATAATCATAATCAATTAATTAATTAATTAATATATTTTGTGTTATTGCAGGTGAAGAACTAATTGTCCAGGGGCCATGCTCACAATTCCCAGACTGTAATAAACATTGCAAAGAAACCGGGTTCGCACAAGAGGGTGGCAAGTGTGTCAGGCTTAACATGTCTGATCCAACGGCTCCTCTTTTCTGTTGCTGCATTGCCAAATAATAATAATAATAATAATCATTTTATTTTTATTTTTATTTTAGTTTATTTTATTATTTGACGTTGTCCATCCGATTTTATTATTAATAATAATACTAATCATTTTTCTCGTCGTTCGCAAATTGGGTGTGAGTTGAATCACGAGTTGCCATTATCTTTGTTTCTCTCGTCGTTCGTAAATTGGATATTTTGTCCGCGTTACCGTAGATATGAGAATTTAGCAGGAGTATAATTAGTAAATAATTTAAAATATATTAGTGAAAATAATTATCGTATAATAAAAATAATTATAAATTAAAAATAAAATAATTGATTAGTATAATTAAAATTAAAAAAATTATAAATTAAATTTTTAAAAATAAGATTAAAATGTATAATTAATTTAAAAAAAGTGACAAAATAAGTGAGATGAACAGAAATAGAAAGATGGACATGAGAAATTGGACTGAGGGAGTAATTTATTTTGCTTCCATGATTATTTTTTTAAATATAATTTTTAATATATTATTATTTTAATATAAATGAATAATTAAATATAAAATATTATATTTTATATTAACAATACTTTTTTTTCCCTAAATTAAAAGATATTGAGTTTGTTCATTCAGTTAAAATTTTCTAATTTTGATTAATATTATAAAAAAAATATAATATATATTTATTGCTAAAATAAATAATATAATATAAAAATTTATATTTATATTATATATGCACTTATTCATACCAAATATAAATAAATATTTTTAATATTTATATTTAAAATATAGGAAAATAAATTGATAGGTATCTTTATATTTTACTTTTCCTTTATATAAATTATTTATAATAGTATATATTTATATTTGTTTATATCATATAAAAAAATTAATATATATTTACATTGTATATTAAAATATAAATTTTAATAATTTTAAATTTATTGATAATTAAATATATATTATTACATCACTATTTTATTCAAAATCAAACATCCATAACACTACAAAAAAATAGTTTATTCGTAACGAAATTCCGTTACTAAAGTTCACGTAGCTAACGTAATTCCATCTCAAATTCCGTCTCTAATATCATTAGTAACAGAAAAAGTGGATTTAACAACGAAAAAATCTTGTTACAAAATTGATATTTTTTTTGTAGTGTAATTACCACTTCCATGTATAAACATTCAAGTATGGGAACTTTATATGTATGGTTACTTTCCATTTTTTACTACTGCATTTTTATAATTTTAAAATAAAGTATTACATTAATCAAATTAAAATTCAATCCAAAATTAATATGAAAAATATAACAATTAACATAATAGTCACTAAGTAAAACTAAACACACTTGTTTACTCACCCAAACAATTTTTCTTCTAACACAATACATTTTTATTTTATTTTATTTTTATATAAAATACAACATTTAATTTAAAATATTATTCTGTTATATTCGAAATACAAGTATTTATACATCACATGAAAAAAATTTTAAAATTAAAACAATGAACAACTACAGATGAATTTGTCATCAAAATAATTTTTTTTTTGACACGAATTTCAATATTTACAATACTCCCCCGTCCCAAAAGAAATATTTTTATTGATAATATATATAAGATTTAAGGAATAATAATATTAAATTCAAATCATGTATAAAATAAAATATGGATAACCAAATTGCGGGTTGAAAAAGTACATTAAGGGTGTGTTTGTTTTGGGGTTTGGATTTTGAATTGAGATTTGAATGGTAAAAATTTTGAATTTGAATAGTTGTATGATGTGATATAAATAGGTGTTGATGTGATGTTTTGAATGTAAAATTGATTTTTAGTATAATATAAAAAATGAAAAATAGGTGTTTGATTTGATGTTTTCGAAGGAAAAAATTAGATGAATAGTTAGATCTAAATTCAATCCTCCAAACAAACACACCCTAAAAAAAAAAACTCTTTTGAGACGAATGAATATTATCTTCCCTTACATACAGAGGCGGAACCAGATCGGGAGGAAAGTGGGGTTTATTTTTCAAAATTTGAAACTATTATAATGTACTTGTTATTCAATAATTCTATCAATGGAATTATCATATTTCGAAAATTATGCAAAATATCAATCTACAGTAACAACTACAAATTACAATATTACTGTTGTATTGTATGAAATTGATAAATAATAATAAAAATTATTAAAAAAATAGCTTTTAAAAATATTATGTCCTGTTCATTTGGTTGAGAACTTTTTGAAAAATTTTCTTTTTATTATTATTATTATTATTATTTATTTTTATAGCATCAAATAATTATTATAATATAAAAATTTTTATTATTCAAAATTTAAATTTAAATTTTAAATTTTAAATTTTCACAAATACTTTATCAATTTTTAGCAATTTTTAATTTGTTTATTACGCCTTTCGTCCCACATAATTTTTCCCTATTTTTTTATTTTGTCAGTCCTACATAATTTGTCCTTTCTTTTTTTGAAAATATAATTATACACTTTAATCACATTTTAAATTTAAATTTTTAGAATTTTTTTTAATTTTAATTAAATTATTTAGTTATCTTAATTTTAATCTATAATTATTTTTACTATACAATAATTATTTTTACTAATATACTTTTTAATTACTTACAAATTATACTTTATTTAAATTCTCATGTTTACAGTAATACATCTATATTAGCTTGGACGGAGGGAGTATTTTTTATACTATATATATATTATAAAATAAAAATTAAAAATTAAAAGGGTGAGGTGGGTGAGGAGGGTCTCCCTTGCCTACATACATCCGTCCCTGTTTACATAGTATTTTTTTTATTACTTTATTGTTAAATTCTTATTATTCTTGTAAAAAAAAACGCATACATTTCTCTTCTAAAGTATCATACTCTCTCCGTCCAAGCTAAAAGTTTATAATTATTTTTGGTGCGGAGATTAAAAAATAATAGTATTTTAATTATAGTGGGTAGGTAAAAGTAATAAAATGATATTTTTGCCCTTATTTTTTTGGTATAAAAGTAACGATGTGATATAAAGTAAAAAGTATTTTTGAAAAAAATGGGATATTTAATGAAATAGCTACTTTATAATTGAACGTCCCAAAATAAAAATATGTTTACTTTCTGACTGAGGGAGAGAGTATATGATATCAAACTCACTAATTTATCTATATATATATATATATAAACCCAAATAGTTATTATTAATTTAATACATTCACCAATAGTTATTATTAATTTATATAGATAGGTTTCCTGAAAATAGTGGTGGTTATTATTAATTAATTAAACCGTACGACTCCTCTCCACCATTCAACTTTATCATTCTTAGGAGCATCGTTCGTCCCTTTTTGCCAAATTATTAATCCATAACTATATATATACACACCATCTTCATCACATTCATTAACCCATCTACAATTAATTAATTAATTAATTATACATTAAAATTAATATTATTTAGTTATATTAATTAAAAATGGCAAGCATGGCCTTCACAGCAGCCACCCTCACCAAGGTTCACCCCACCAAGATCTTTCTCCCCTCTGCCCCCCTCAGAACATCTTTCCAGGTATAATTAAATAATTAATTATATTTTTTTTATAGATCCAACGAAATCGTGTTTCCATTTCCGCGTTTTTAATTAAGATCGTGTTTTCGATTTATAGGGCAACCGGCGGTTGTCTGTCACGGCGACGGTCGACGACGCCGCCAAGAAGGGCGCCGACGCCGCCAAGAAAAGCGCCGACGCCGCCAAGAAGGGCGCCGACGATGTATTATATAATTATAATATATATATTTTTTTGTTTTATTATTTTATTATTATTATAATTATTATTTTGATCGCATGCAGACGGCGGAGAAGGCTAAGGAAGTGGCGGGAAAGGTGGCGGGATCGGCGCAGGAGGCGGCCGGAAAAGTGAAGCAGACGGCGGAGGATGCGTGGGGGTCCGTTAAGGACACCGCCCGGAAGGTGAAGGACTCGGTCGCCGGAAAAGCCGACGCGGCGGCGGAGTCCGCTAAAGAGACAGCCAGTGACGCGGCGGCCAAAGCCGAACGCACAATCAAATCCGACAACTAATTGACCATATATAGAAATAACCGGATTCAGTTAGTCTTTTTTATTTTTATTTTTATTTTTGATAATAATGTTATCATTAAGATTAGTTTTAGCGTTCCATTTTTTATGTGTTTTTGGAGATTGTACTTTTCCAATGTACAACTTTCGATGCTTGTCTGTGTTTCGACTACGGCGTCGATTTTGGTTAGAAATAATTTATTTGTTTATTTAAATATCATTGTAAACATTTACTTTGAAACAAAATATTGTTAATATTATTGTTCATGTTAAAATTTTTATACCTGTTTAAAGCTGATTCCAACCAACTGATTTGTTTGACATATAATTTTAATAGTTCTTTTTTATCTTTTTAGTTTGAATTTAAACATTATTAATAAAAAATAGGCAATATGATAAGAAAAACATAATTTCATATCATAAAATATCTACAAAACACAAATATGTAGATCCGATTCCTCATCGGCAATCCCAACTCCGCCGCCGTTCTCCGCCGCCCCTTTTACGATCACACTCTCCTGCCTGATCTCCTTCAGCATCGCCACCACATCCTTCATCGCCGGCCGATCCTCCGGCGTCCGATTCACGCACAGCATAGCAACCCCTAACGTCTGCAACATCTCCTCAACCTCCCCCGCCGACCCTCCCCGCAGACTCTGGTCCAACACGCCCGTGTCGCGCATCCGCCTCTCCCTCACCCTCCGGTCCAACACGCCCGTGTCCCCCATCCACCTCCCCCTCACCCATTCCACTATATGCACTCCCTCCGGCAAGCTCCCGTCCACCGGCGGCTTCCCCGTCAGCACTTCCAACACCACCACGCCGTAGCTATACACGTCGCTCTTCTCCGTTATCTTCATCGCATATCCATACTCTACATAAATTTTTTTTAAGAAAACCCCCATAAATTACGGTTGATAAATAGTTTCAAAAGTTTCAAAAATTTAACCTGGAGCGATGTATCCGTAGGATCCCGCGACTGTATTAGAAAACGGCACGAAATCGCCGTCCTCAATCGACTTAGCAATGCCAAAATCTGCAATATACGGCTCGAAGTTTCCGTCGATCAAGATGTTATTAGCCTTAACGTCGCGATGAATAATCGTCGGGACGCAATCGTGATGGAGATAGGCCAAGCCTTGCGCCGCGCCAAGAATTATTCGGTACCATACGTCCCATTCCAAATTCGATCCCCGACGCTTCTCGTGAAGTAGGCTTCCAAGGCTTCCGTTAGGCATGTAATCGAACATTAGTAGCCGCGTCGTCTCGTTCGAACAACACCCCAACAACTTAACGATGTTCTTATGACGAATCGATCCGAGTGTCCTAACCTCCGTCGAAAACAAATCCCGACCACCACTTATCGGCCGCGGCCATAGCTTTTTCACGGCGATGACTTCGCCATCGCCGAGTTCGACGCAATAGACAACTCCCGAGCATCCCTTACCGATCGCATTGCCCTCGACGAGACATCGTAGTACTTGTTTGACCGAGAAGTTCACCTTTTGGAACGGCGTAAACTTCCACGACTCCGTGTCGTCGTCGTCTCGACTACTCATGTTATTAATTCTTACGATTGCTATAATCCCGAGCACAGTTAATGCTATCACGATTGCAACGAGGAGCACAATCGCCAATTTCACCCTCCCCGACCACCTAATACCGTCGTCGTCGCGCTGAATTCCTGCACTAATTAGAAAACACGAATCGCGAACCCGAGAACACAAACCCGGGTTCCCGGCGAGTTCCCGCGGCAAGAGCTGTCGGAACAACTTGTTGTCGGGGAGATAGCCGGTGAAATTGTTGTAAGAAACATTCAAGGAGACGAGGTTCGCAAGCACGGCAAGAGACTTTAAGTCCCCGTCAAGATCATTATACGAAAGGTCCAAAATCGACAGTCGATTTAGCGCCGCGATTTGTGCTGGAATCTTCCCCGACAGCGCGTTGCAGCTGAGATTCAAAGCTATTTCGAGGGACTCGATTTCGAAGATCTCTACCGGAATACTTCCGACGAGTCGATTCCGGCTGAGATCGAGCATTTGAAGCTGCAAGCATCGCCCGAGCGTGGCGGGGATTGTTCCCGACAGCGAATTGCTGGCGAGAGAGAGCGAACTGAGTGAATACAACTTCCCGAAACCGTCGGGGATTTCTCCGAAAAACCGGTTCATCGAAAGGTCCAATACTTCGAGCTTGATAAGGTAATACAAAGAGCTGGGGAGTTTTCCGGAAAGCGAGTTTCCGGAAAGGTCCAGCATTTGCAATTCTCGACAGTTTCCGATTTCTTCCGGGACTGTCCCGGCGAGGCGATTGTCGGAAAGATCGAGGAAATTGAGATTCGACAAAAGGCCGATTTGTCGCGGAATCTGGCCGTTGAATATGTTCCCCGATAGCCTAAGCCGGAACAGAGCTCGGCAATCACCGATCTCCGGCGGGATCGGGCCTGACAAATTGTTGTCGATCATCAGAAACTTGGTCAGATTTTTCAGCCGGAAAATGCTCCGGGGTAAGTTTCCGGTGAGGAAGTTCTTGGAGAAATCTATTGCCCGGAGATGGTGGCAGCCGGACAGAGAATCTGGAATGCTTCCCTGAAGTTTATTGTTCCATGCGAAGAAGACTTGCAGGCGGCGGAGGGAGCCGAGCTCCGCCGGGATCTCGCCGGAAAGTTGGTTGCTGTCGACCTCTAATAGGACTAACCTCCGGGCATTGGACAGAACCGCAGGGATGGAACCGGAGACGTTATTGTTGCTAAACATCAGCTCTTCTAGACTGGTGAGATTCCCGAAAGATTCTGGGATTTTTCCCGACAGGAGATTTAACGAAACGTCGACGTTTAAGAGGTTCTTGCAGTTCCCAATCTCGGCGGGAATGGCGCCGACGAGAGCGTTCTGCCATAGCTGCAGCTTCTCGAGCTTCAGGAGATTTCCTAACTCCTTCGGAATCGGACCCGACAGGTTGTTTTCGAACAGATATAATTCTACCAGCTCCGTACAGTTTCCGATCTCCGGCGGGATTTCCCCGGAGAGCATTGAGGTGTAAAGGGACAGAATTTTGAGGTTTTTTAGGTTACCTAAGGAAGGAGGAATTCCGCCGGAAATTTTGGTTTCGGCGAGGCCGAGGACTTGCAGGTTCCGGCAATTGGAGATTTCGCCGGGGATTTTTCCGGCGACGGCGTGGTTCCCGCCGGCGCGGAGGGTTTCGAGAGATGTGAGGTTTCCGATTTCGGGAGGAATGTTTCCGGTGAGTCTGTTGTCAAATAGGGACAGAATTTTCAGGCGGGTGCACCGCCCGAGCTCCGCCGGAATCCGGCCGGTGAGGCGGTTGGAGTTCAGAATAAGTTCCTCGAGGTTTTGGAGCTTTCCGATGCTCTCTGGAACGTTTCCGACGAGACTGTTACCGCTGACGTCGATCCTTCTAAGAGAAACGCAGTCGCCGATTCCGGCGGGGATTTCTCCGGTGAGATTCGCGCCGGAGATGGTGATGCTGCGGAGGGCGGTGAGGGAGGAGAGATTTGGCGGGAAGGGGAAAGCGAGATTAATGGATTGGATATTGATTTCGGTGACGAGATTGTCGGAAGAACAGGAGATGAATCGCCATTGACAGGGGGTGGAATCTCGCCGGTCCCAATTTGAAAACTCCGGCGACGGCGGCGGCGAGGAGGGGGAATGAAAAATCCAGGAGAGTAGAACAGTGACTTCTTCTGTAAGGGGACGACAGAGCGGGAGAATATTGAGGAAGATGATCGGGAATAATATTATATTGGGAATATTTGGAGAACGGCGGCGGCGGCGGTGAGTGGCGGATTCCGATGATACTTCGCTCGGCATTGGTAATGGCGTTTTGCCTCAAATCTTACACCAGAATTGGGTTTCTCGCTCTATATTTTTCTCTCTCCTATATCTATCTTTATTTATTTATTTATTTATTTTTTGGTTTTCTTGAATGTGGTGAAGTTTCTGAGCTAACAGAAAGTGGTTGTTACTGTCGACGCCATTGATGAAGGAGACAGGAGGACCCGAGAAACTCTTGGGGGGCCCCGGATCTTTGATCCGGAACGAATCTACACCGTTCATCTTGAAGGGATCTACGACGTGGATCTACACCGTTCATCTTAATAAATTGGCCCCTTTTGAGTCCATTAAGCCCAATTAATTATTATCTTGGCCCAATTCTCTAGCTAAATAAAACGTAGGGCAAGATGAACGGTGTGGATTAATCTGGTGTAGGGTCCCTGGAGCTCGCAACGGCTACCCTGAACCCAATCCAATTTCTACCAGAAATGCTCTTGGCCTTATAATCGAGAATTCAAGTAATTTAGCGGCGGGGGGAAATTGATACGTGCGATTCAATGGTTTCTGCTGGAATTGGAATTGCAGATAGAATTCAGACCGCAGCGATTCCTCCTACTGTGTTTTTCTCGAACTCTTGCAGTAACGGATCTCAATTTCTTAAGCAGCGGAGCTTATACTCATCTAGCCAGCGCAAGCGCCTCAGGAATCTCAAAGCTCATTCGTCACGACGTATTGTTTATGCTGCACAGTTCGAGTTCTTGAAAGGTATCGATTTCTATCGTTTTTGATGTCTTGAGGGCAATATGCTAATGTTGAGTTATGATTCTGCCCACAAAGTGTTTGTTAATATTCCTGAACCAAAACAGGTAGCTGATTTTAATTTATTATTATTATTTTTAATCTTTGAAGACTAAGGAACTGATTTTTGGTTGATTTTGTCTTTTGGAGGAGTTTTGGGGAAGAATTGAATCCATGATAGTTCAAATTAGATGATGATTGATGTATAATTGTGTGCCTATGTGGGATTTCTTGTTAATTTTTGTTTAAGTTAGGTCATACTGTTAGATTGGAAGCACAATTATTTTGATTAATCCATAAAATGGGATATTAGTTCTTGTCACATTTGATTTTTGTAATGGAAATTGATGATTGGAATTGATCTATTGTGTTTAATTTCATAGAAGTAATTAAATACATAAAGACTATAAGCCATGTTTGGTTTTGAAAAGATTGCACTAAATTCCATATTTTAAAAAATATTGTATAGGATTGATTATAAACAAGTTTGCTTATAAAATAAATGGTATTGTGGGAGTGTTTTGATTCAGTTAAATTTTGCTCCTTGTTATGCTCTTGTGAAGTAGTTATGGCGGTGGTATTTTTGCACTATCCAATCTATGGTAAAAAGTATCATTTCAATGCGTAGACTCTATACCAAATATTACGTCCCATCACTATTTTTCACGGGAAAAAGGTCAAATAAAGATAACCAAAAACATCCTGAAAGATACTATTTTGTTTATGTTGTCGGGTAGTTGTCCAGACGGTATGGAAGGTTGGGAAGGATGGAGTCGACGCGGGAACTAACATGGTGCCTGTAAGTGCAATTAATTTTCATCTCATTAATACCTCAGAATTCTTTCATTTTTTTTGTTTACAACGATCGATTCCCTCTTCTTGATTTACAAGGCTGTTGTTCCGAGGCCAATAGCAAGGGCGGCTGTTGCCGTTGCGGCAGCCATGGCGGGGCTCTTTGTGCTCAAGTCATTCCTGTCTACAGCATTATTTGCTCTGGTATATATATTCATGGATAATCAAGATTGAATTTTTCATGGTTTCTTCTCTGTAAATTATTATTTTTGTACATTTTACAATATGATGAGGGATTTTGATTGTTTACAGGCAGTGATGGGACTGTGTTATTTCACATTCATAGCATTGAATAAGAATGAAGGTCCAAAAGGGAATGGAGGAACCACTTCTGTTGAAGACAGTCTTGAAGAAGCTAGAAGAATCATGGACAAGTACAAATAGAATTCTTTATTTTAATTTAAATGTAATATATATATATATGATATATAAATTTTGTTGCATAATTTACTATTGCATCATCCCTTTTTTGTGGGTGGGTGGTTTATGGGGGGTGGGGGTGTGTCCATAACCATGGAATGTTGAGGTCTGAATCCAAATAGTAAAAAACTGTAGAGAGACTCGAAAAGAAACACAAAATCTAATCTTTATTTGTCACAAACATATGAAAACAATTTTATTTGAAGAATGCAATGCAATAATGATGAAAAGCCTAACAAAAAATTGTATGTAGCCATGAAAAGGATCATTACTTTTGTTCTTCTCCTACAAATGAAGAGACAAATCAAGATTATGTTCTTTGTGCATCTCACCGTCCCCATACCTTTGATCATCATGTCCAGATTCATTGCATCTCACACCCCATTGCCAGTTCTGATCATTGTTGCCATAACCCTCACTCAAGTAATGCCCACTGTACACTAAAACATCTTCAAACACACGCGCGCCGTTGGATCCGACCTGACGGGCAGCGGCGAGATACGCGGAGGGATTGAAAATGCCGATGGGAGAGAACATCAATGGTGGCGGGGGAGGCATTATGGGATAATCAGAAATTCTTTTGGTTTTTCTTGCAGCAGTTCTTTCCTTTCTGTGAGCATTCTGATGACCTCCCAAAGCTTGTGAGCTGTGGAACTTTCTTGAGCAGTATAGGCAAGGGAAGGATTTCGATGATGTATCTTCGGAGGACTTTCTCGGCGACGTTGAATCCTCGCCATCCATTCCCTGGAGGATCGAATGGTAAGAAATATTATAATGGCGTGGGGGGTGGGAAGAGAGTTCAGAAAGTAAGTTTGAAACATGTGAAGGGATGTTTGTGTGGAAAGGATATACCATTTATAGAAAAGAGTGTTGCTGCTGCTGCTGCTGCTTTAGGCACATCTATGGCAGTAGAAGGATGGATGTATGGGCCTGGAAACAGAAGAGATAAGAGAAATATAGAGAGAGAAATAAAGAAAGATAAATAGAGAGAACGAGTGGCTACCAGATTTTCTACTGCTGTAGCAGAACAAGCCCATCCAGGGAGGGGACTGGGGTTCTTCACCTGTAACATAAACAACATATTTCAAGTTTTGGGAATCCCAATGGAAAGAAATGCATATTATATATATATGTATATATATAGAGGCATTTAATTATTTAATTAACTAATCAAGTTGTGTTTTTACCAATTACCGGGGTAGAGGGAGGTCCACATAGATCTTGATCCATCCATCCATGGAATCACAATCTGGGTTGTGGGAATCACAATCACCCCTGTATTACAATTATCATCACCTGCCTATCCTCTGCTTTACAATAAATAGTTATGGGGATTGGGATTGTGGGGGTGAAGGGGATGGATGGATAGACACAGACACTTTCCACCGCCATTACCATATATACTACATAGCATACACCATACATGTTCACACTTTTCATCTACTGATTCTGTGGGCAACGAGAACAGAATGGAACAAATAGTGGTCCATTCGGTATCAATTCAGTTTTCCAACACACACAGATTTTCGCAAAACAGCTAACACATAATACACATTGTGTCACCTCACAAACTTTTCATAGCCAACAGCATGTTTGATAAATGGAAGTGCCCTTTTTCTTCTAATCCGCATCGCATATGCACATAGGAAAGATAATTTCAGTAGAAATAAAGTTGTCTAAGAGTCATCCCTGCTTCAAGAACTATCCAGGAGATGTTCTTTAATCTCCTCACCATGGCAAAAGAAGATTTTACATTAGTTAATTTCATGGTTAATGAGTAAGGTCTCTATAGTCTTCTACCGGACACAGTAGTTACAATAGGATCAGCAAAAATGCATAGCTTGTCATGGTAACTATGGATGAGATGAAGCATCAGGGAATTGACAATCTTTATAGTGTTATATCAACTTGATATGTTTAAAAGCTACGGTGCTATATGGTTACTATATACATCACTGGAAATGCAGAGGTTAGGGCATCTTCGACATGAGGTGAAAAGACAACACCAAAATTGGAAAGATGGAATGCAGAGTAACATGGCTGCACCCATATTTCTGCCCTGCAAACCACTATTACAAATGGAAGTTTGTTGGACTCATTCGAAATCTGACATCTCAACAGCTATTCCTAGTTACATGGGTTCCCACTATAAACTAAACAAATATATATGAAAAACCAAAAAAGTCAACATTGTTCTTGAATCATGCATAGTGACAGCTTAAGAGTACACTTGAGACAACGGCATTAAAAAATAATAAGAACTACTTGGAATAATTGAAAAATGTATTATTAGAGTTCAAAAAACGCTTTAATAGTAATGTTATCCAACTCAGAGCTAGTTGCAAGATCTTACATGCTCTATTTCAGCATATTGTGAAGGCCAAGTGTTAAAGTTCATCTATGATATTTGCATCTATCCTCTTGACAGGAAATATCACAATTGTAAGAATAAGATTCTAAATTCTAAGTCGATCTTTAAAGCGACGCTAATTGATGAATGATCGACATAAATATTTCAATGACCTTGGACTTGTTTTCTGATTCCATAAGGAACACCGACATTCTAATTTATATCCACTAAATTATTTTCATTCATACAAAATTTTAATATGACCGCATTAGTGCATTTGCAATTGAAGAGTACCAAGCTGATACTAAAACAGGATATATTTGTCTTCCAAACAATAAGTTCGGAAAACATGTCAAATTCAAAATATTATGACCTTATATTGAGCAGAAATCCAAATAAATGGACTTTTCAAATAGATTACACGGTAACTTTGACATGCATTATAGTTTATAGACATAAATATACCTATTAAACATCTTTATATAGCAACTGAAACTTTGGGATTCTCTCAGGAGGCAGTGGACAATTAACAATAAGCTTTCCCTTCATTGCTCCTCTATATATTGCCTGCAATCGGATAGTGTAAAGATCATACTTAGTCACATTTTAGGCCCCGTTAACACATACTAAAGACACCAACAATAAGATTAATCAATGCTGCATTACATTAAAATATTGGCAAGAAGAAAGAAATATTTTTTTTTTGAGGAATTAGTTCTATATATTGTACTAGTTTTGCAGATATAACACCTACAATGGTCATCGACACACCAAACATGACTTTATATCAAATACAGAACTCAAATGATCAGGATTGACACTCGCCCATACTTATATTATGTAGATCATCCCTAAGCACAGAAAACAAAGATTTATGGTTGCTTTGGAAGATTTATACATAAGATACAAATTTGCCCAATAATATTTTGATGTTTTCAGTTCTCCAAGATAATGACTGCAACTATTTTGATTTGATGTTGTGTTAAAATTTTAAAAAATATAAGTCATGATAATCATGAATTTGAAATCACAGATATTGTTCAAATTAGAACAATATTATACTATCCAAAAAATGAATACCTCCACAACATCAATGAAGTCTTGCTTGCTCTGAAACGTACCGACCCACTTAGTGTGGTCTGCACTTCTGCAATAGTGAAGAATTAGGAATTGAATGACTAACCTAACCGAAATGTTAATACCTAAATAATCTCTACGGTGATGTCAAAGCCACATTAAGCTCGTGTTTCACAGACAATAAAAGGTATCTTACTAATAAACTTCTCAATTGCATAAACACAATCTTAGAACAGATTAATCCTGGACAGAAATTCCAACAAAATCGAAAGTCTGCAATGAACCAATGAAGAAAAATTGAATTACGAAGAGGAATTACCCGGAATCCATCTTCATGTGGTGAGCATTGAAGAAGAAAACAATGGAGGGGATGAAAGCTATATCAAAATACTTGACATAAACCTGAATCTCCTCCGAATCCACATCCACTAACCCTACCGTAGCGAATCTGGAAACGTCTCTCGCCGATTTGTAGAGGACGTCGTCTAACTGGAGGCAGATGGCATCGGAGGAGCGGCCGAAGCGGAGGACGAGGACCTTGTCGAGGGTGTCTCTGATGAGGGAATCGACCGCTCTCTTCTCCCTCAGCGTTGGCAGCAAATACTCCATTACTACTCGCAAGACAACTGTCCTCTTCTCTGCAATTTATAGCGTACATATATATATGAAAAATAAAAGAAGAAAATAAATAAATTGCTCAATCGGTTTCGAACCGCCGGTTATCCGGTTCAACCAGAACCGTCATCGAACCGGAACCGATTTTATCAGGGTTCAGAACCGTAAACATTCGGTTTAGCAGGTGGAGTCGAGACGAGATGGTGGTTGAAGAAGAAGGAAAAGAAAGAAAAGAAAAAATTGGGGAATGAATTGATTTTTTTAGAATTTATAAATTTTTACTCCCACCTTCCCACATATCATGTCCACGTCGTTTTATGTCATTTTTTTTATAAAGAAATACTTTAAACTTTTTTTTTAATTTTAATTAAATTAATTAGTTATCTTAATCTTAATTTATAATTATTTTCACTATTAGGGAGTATTAAATAATTATACTATTTAATTTAAATTATATTATTATTTAATATACTAATATTTTTTATAATTAATTTGTAATTTAAATTCATTATTTTTAACAAATTATAACCATAGGTTTGAACCAAATAGTTATTTAAATGATAGAAGAATACTAGTTTCGGGTTTAGGGAATAAAAATTTTAATTTAATATTAAAATAATATATAATATAATGTTTTGTGAATTTTTATTTTTTTTTAAAAGAAATGCTGAAACACACCCTGAGACATTGATTTTTATTTTTTTATTTTTTAAAAAAGCTATAAAGAAATAAGAATATGCAACACTAAAAATAAATTAATAAAAGCAACCATAGATAATGCACTGCACAAGTGCCAATCCATTCCTACTACACATACATAAAATAATATATATATATATATATGTTCGTGCAGATTTTATTTTACTTTTCCTTTTTAACTGAAATCAAATAAAGCAGCAGTAAAATATTAGTAACTATAAATAATATATATATATATACGGCATTCTTTCCAGCAGCATTCATTCATCACTTGGTTTCTTCTCAAGAGGGAATGCACATCTGCAGACCATTCAAAAAACCGTCAGAACACATATCAAACATAGATATAGAAAACTTACGTATACTACGTATCGCATTACTGAGTACAAACTAGCGTAGACAAATCCGACTACCGGATGATGCTTTTATCTACCGCCGTCCGACGATCCGCCGCCGTTCAGCCGCCGCCGCCTTCTCGGGTTCGTAGGACCGTCATTGCCGCGATTCAGGTCCGGCACATCGCCACCATCGTCGTCATTGTTCCGAAGACCCAACAGGTTTTCACCCCAGATGTATCGTCGCCGGGAGAATATCCCACCGGCGCGTCGATGCCTAGGAAACACCCTCGGCCTGCCTCCCCGCGCATCGCCGCCTCCCCGCGAGTCCATCGAGCCAATCATATGGAACAAGAAGAAGGTGCTCAGCCACCGCCCCCCACCCCCGCCACCGCCGCCTCTGTCTCTGTCTCGTTCAGCCGCCAGCCTGTCACCATTCTCGATCACATAGTCTCCGAACACAACTGCCCCGGGCATGGCCGAGTGGATCGCGCTGACGATATCGTTGTACTCCCGCTGGTCCTCAAGATGATGCCACGCCCGTTGCCTCGACGGGTCGACGTCAGCCGGGCGCACCGTCGGATGAACCCGTCTAGCATGCCGGCGCAGCTCCCGGTAGTTCCCGAAAAACGAGCACGACTCCGACGAGCAGCTTCGGGACTTCAGGTTAAGGTGCTTTCTCGCGTCTTCCACGACTTTCCATCCCAAAACACTTCCCCGACACAAAGGGCACCGCAAATTCGACCCTACATTACTTTCCCCGACAGAATCGGGACGGCCTTCTTGGATAGAACCTGGAGAAGAGGAGTCTGCGTTTTCTTCTTTGCGTTTCTTGAGCCGATCCAAGCAATTAGAGTGTCTGTAACTAGTGTCGCAGACGTACGAGCGGCAGCCATTGTCGTGGGAACTGCAAATGAGAAGAACAGCATTGTGTGGGTGGTCCATGCATATGGGGCATGAAACTTCATCCCATTCCTTGTATAGTGCAGAAGACACATCTGAATCATTCGATATGATGCTTCTTTTCCTACTAGCCATCTATTGCACGGTGTCATTCGTTACTAATATCGAATTCATTAGCATACCAATTTAAGCTCCACCAAAAACGCAAGAAAGTAAAGATGAATAGAAATTTAATCTAAACGGCGACAGAAAAACATGGAACAGTAGTAAGATTCTGTAAATTCAAGAAATCAGAAAGCAGAGCCATAGCTAACCGAAGAAACCAAAGAAAACACCATGGAATTACTAGTTAGATGGAAGAAAACTCGAAACTAACTTCTCACATAAAACTAAGAAATAAATTTGTCTTTCGTCAATTCACTGTATGCAAAGCGGAAACTACCATATCTCAAGAGCTCATTTTCTAATCTAACGAGTCAAAATCTTCATTATCGTAAACACTAAAAAAGCACCCTATTTGTTGAACTGATTTATCAGATGAAAGATGCAAAAATAAGCTTTATCACGCCACAAAATAATTTGTAACGATGCCCAAAATCCACTTCCAATCCAAAAAGGCAACAATGTTCGACTGATTAACACGGTGCGATAAAAAACCATCCCCTACCCCATGGGCTAACAAAGAAGAAAGTTGGGCATCTTCAAATAGAAACAAGTCAACAACACACAAAAGTTAACATAAATTCAAGGCAGGTAAACTATAACCTGAACGAGCAGAAAGCAAGTCGATTATCAAGAGCAATAAGCTTATCAGGTCACAGAAAATCACAATTGAATCAAATTGCCATTAGCCATCTTATTATCGCTTACCACTAAAAGCCACTGATGTTTCTTTCTTTTACTTGCAGCTTCAGAAACTACTAATGCAGGATCTGAATCTTTATAACCGATCGAATTTAGCAAATTGAGAAAATATGGTATCTTTACTTGACTTTACAGCATATCTGGCATCAATGCATAGCGATCATTTACTAAAATAGCATATCAGAACATTCCTAATATAATCTTGGAGTAAATTGCCTGATTAAACAGAATTATCTGACATCAATCACCAATGACCTCCACAACCTGCAACAACAGTATTATGGAACAGAAAAAACAAAAAAAAAAAGGTCATTTGGATAACATACAGCTCAATACAAAGAACTCGTTGGTATATAATTGATTGCAAAGTTAACTACTCCAAATTATCATATAGCTTAAATACACACATGAAAATTTTGATCATTAGAGATTGAATAACATTGCTTCTGTTTACACTTATCCAGACTTCAGAACAGAACAAAATTCCAATATCAAAATATCAATCGATATCAAGTTTTGAAAATCACAATACCTAATTTTCCCAAAACATATATTTTCAAATCCAATGACCATAAAATCCTTTCCAACATAAAGATCTATTCACCGATCCTCCTCTATAAACCTGGAAAACTCCAAAAACATAAGAAAAACAGATCCTTCCTTCCTCAAAGCATAATTAAACGATTAAATTTGCAACTGTCATAAACATATAACTACGTCTGCAAACATTAACAAAGATCAAGCGAAGGAAAACATCCTGAAAATTAACATAATATATCCTCTGAATCAAGGAAATCAAGAGAATTCGAAGGTGCGAAATTACGATTCGTAGAAATTACGGATGGCTTGACGATTATCCTTTGATTGAAAATTTGTGTGCCGATTTAATCCAAACGAGGGGAAAAATACAAAATCCTTTTTTGGTGGGTTCACGCGATCAGATTTGAGATACACATTTACGAATTCCGAAAAGATTCCGCAGAGAGGTTTGTTTGGTGTGCAACCATAATACACCGCGTTCTGAAGCTTTGTTTATTTATATATTCGAAACACTTGTTCCCCTTTTGCACTTTAATCCTTTTTTTCTCGCCCTTATATTTAAAGATATTTATGTGCGGTGATCAAAATAAAGAAGAGGAGTTGTATATTTAAATAGTAAAAATTTTAAATTTGAATAATTGTAAATATAAAAAATAATATTTTAAATGTAAAATTAATTTTTAATATAATATAAAAAAATATATGTATTTGATTTGATATTTTTTTTTAAAAAAAAAAAGTTAAAAATTTGTTGAAAACTTTGAAACAAACACACCATTGAGCTTAGGATTTTCGATTCGAATTTTATTAAATTTGGATTAATCAATATATTTGAAATTCAAATTAAAAAATCTGAATAAAATATTTTATTTTTAAATTTTTTTTATATATTTTTATAATTTTTTATAATATTAAATAACTAAAAAGTAATTATATATAAATATATTTTCTTAAATGTTTTCTATTTTGGCTGTTTCGGTTTAAAATTTACTAACTAACCTAAAATATAACTTAATAAATACTAGTATAAATCAAATTAATTAAGCATATAACATTATACATATTGTTGATGTAATTTTTCAACAAAAATAAAGTAAAATTCAAAGATATAAAAAATATCCTTAAACTTGATTAATTAGTGCCTGAGATTAGGAATCTCTAAACGTACAGAAAATAAACTGGAAAATAAAAGACTGAAATTTAAAGTGGTGATCCCCAAATCTGACTTTGCTTTGTTGAAGTTGATTGAAGATGCCTTTTCTGACCGATTTGAATCCTTTAAATAGCCTTTCAGAGAAAACGGTTTGAACCGCCGTCTGGTCGGTTACAGCAACCGCTGTCAACCGACCACCAATTTCTCCTCTATTGACACGTATTACAACTTCCTTCAACCGTTCCCACCAGTCACAGAACTCAGACCTGCCTCTTACCCGACCTGCCTGTCCAATGCCAAATTTCTTTTGTCCGACTTCGTCCTTCGCCCGACCTGCTTCTTCGCCCGACCTCACTTGGGCCGACCTCCGCATCAGCCGCCCTCCGTCTTTGACCGAAGACCTCCGCGTCTGTCCGTACCTCTTCCTTGCCCGACCTTCCTCTTGACAGACCTCCGCGTCTGCCCGACCTTCCTCTTGACAGACCTCCGCGTCTGCCCGACTTTCCTCTTGACAGACCTCCGCGTCTGCCCGACTTCGCCTTCCATCCGATCTACGGTTTACCCGACTTGGGTACACCTTTTTTTTTTTTTTTAGACTCCGCCCGACCTTTCTTCCTTTTCCCGACCTTTATTCTGCCCGACCTCCAGACCTTTTGGCTTTCATTCAGACCCTACCCAGAATCCTACTGCCACTTACTATTATTATTATTTTTTGTGCTTAACAATAAGCCTCCTCCTCAAGACTCCTAAACATCACTTCCAGTGATGTTTTAGGAGTTTGCAGGCCGGCATCCGAGGCTACGTCAGCCTCAGATCCGACCTCCATCCTTCGAGGCTACGTTGGACCCGACCTCCATTTATCGCGGAATGGTGCTGACCTGGAAGTTGGTCGATCTTGCACTAACATTGCTTCAGCATCTCCCCCCTGACGGAAGTCATGATTAATTTCTGTAAAAAAGGATTCTAACCTTCTTGTCGTGGATGCTAAACTGGCCAGATCTTGAAAGTCGTGGGCTGTCAGGGCCTCGCGAAGTCTGGTATGCATGTTCCTGACCACCAAATTGGTCATTTCGCTTTCATTGATCATCGTAGGACATCGTCCCTTCATCAATCGCATCCTCTCTATGAATTGGTAGCCGGTCTCTTCCGGCATCTGCGTGATCTCCAGAAGGTCTATCAGTGAGACTGTCGGCAGAGGATTAAAGAACCTTCCATGAAAATCTGCCTCTAAATCTTCCCAAGTTTGCAACTGTCCAGGCGGCAGACTGACATACCAAGAAAAAGCTGTTCTTGTGAGCGACAACCCAAACAATTGTAACTTGTGAAACGGATTGTTGCCTACTTCTCCCAATTGAGCCGTGAAGCGACCCACATGCTCAATGGTAGAGGCTCCGTCTTCTCCCGAAAAAGAATAGAAGTCTGGTGGCCTATAATTTCTCGGGAGAGGATGATCGTTAATGATCCTTTCTGGAAATGGCCTCTGGTAAACCGGCCTGTTCACCGTTTGCGGATTCATTCCGAAATGCACCCGCAGAACTTGAGCAATATCCTCCGGATCTACTCTGGGTGGAATATGGTCGAACACTGGAATGTGATCGTGAGTCTGACCTCCCAATCTTTCTTCTCTGGAGAAGGCTGGTTCGGCTGGGATGGGATTATGAGTCTGTCCCTCTAATCTCTCATTCGGCTGGGTATTATCAACCCTCGGTCCCAAAGGAACATTATCTGGGAAAGTTAGAGGAATCTTCCCCATATCTGTTCGGTTGAAAGTTGTAACGCTTGGAAACGTACTGTCAACGTATTATGGTTCTGCAAACGTTGATCCTGAGAAAGTCGCCTGAAAACGAGAAGGTGACACGGCTGGAAGCATGTTTGGATACAGGGTTGAATCTGGAGAATGCCTGATCCAACATGTTTTGCATTAGATTTTGTTGTTCACGCAACATGCTCGTTTGTTGCTCACGCAACAAATTCTGCATAACCAAAGTATGCCGGTTGTTCATTTGTTGAATATAAGAGCACCAATCAGTTGGTGGTTGTGGGTTTTCCCCGGCATTTGGCACAATAGGTGGTGGAACGGATTGTGGAACGGATTCTCCCGCCGGTGCCGAAGATGATTGCGGTTGTGAACCTGCCATATGGACCCTTCCGATGATTCGGCCGGATCTAAGACGTATGAAATTATCGTCGGAATTGGAATGAGCAATTGTGTCTTGCTCCCACTGTGGTCGCCAATTTGTTGATGTAATTTTTCAACAAAAATAAAGTAAAATTCAAAGATATAGAAAATATCCTTAAACTTGATTAATTAGTGCCTGAGATTAGGAATCTCTAAACACTGTATGGTACAGAAAATAAACTGGAAAATAAAAGACTGAAATTTAAAGTGGTGATCCCCAAATCTGACTTTGCTTTGTTGAAGTTGATTGAAGATGCCTTTTCTGACGGATTTGAATCCTTTAAATAGCCTTTCAGAGAAAACGGTTTGAACCGCCGTCTGGTCGGTTACAGCAACCGCTGTCAACCGACCACCAATTTCTCCTCTATTGACACGTATTACAACTTCCTTCAACCGTTCCCACCAGTCACAGAACTCAGACCTGCCTCTTACCCGACCTGCATGTCCAATGCCAAATTTCTTTTGCCCGACTTCGTCCTTCGCCCGACCTGCTTCTTCGCCCGACCTCACTTGGGCCGACCTCCGCATCAGCCGCCCTCCGTCTTTGACCGAAGACCTCCGCGTCTGTCCGTACCTCTTCCTTGCCCGACCTTCCTCTTGACAGACCTCCGCGTCTGCCCGACCTTCCTCTTGACAGACCTCCGCGTCTGCCCGACCTTCCTCTTGACAGACCTCCGCGTCTGCCCGACTTTCCTCTTGACAGACCTCCGCGTCTGCCCGACTTCGCCTTCCATCCGATCTACGGTTTACCCGACTTGGGTACACCTTGTTTTTTTTTTTTTAGACTCCGCCCGACCTTTCTTCCTTTTCCCGACCTTTATTCTGCCTGACCTCCAGACCTTTTGGCTTTCATTCAGACCCTACCCAGAATTCTACTGCCACTTACTATTATTATTATTTTTTGTGCTTAACACATATATAACATTCACTCAAAATTTCTTTATTTATCTATTATTTTTAAAAAATAAATATTTTTATTTATATTTAAAAATTCACATCTTTTATAAAAATTACTTTATGTTAATTAAATAAATAAAATTATTTTTTATTTATTGTAAAATATTTAGTCTCTATGATATTCTATCGGTATAATGTTTTAAATATTTAAATACAATAATTCATTTTTTTAATTATATATATTAAATTTATTTTAAAATTATCAATATTATTTATTATATAAAAAATAATATAATAATATAATAATTTACTATTTTTAATTAAACATATGCTTACTTTCCAGTTGCGGGCTTGGACTGAAAATTTTTAATCATACGGGCCTCTAAGCGAAAGCTATGGGCTGACTTAGGTCAAAAATCAGATGAGGAGTTTCAAGGGGGGAAATTCGAATGAACCATGTCTGCCAGAAGATCATCACAATTCAATAAGCGAACGAACAATCCATCTTCGCAGGGAGATGCTTTCCATCAGGTCAGGTTCGTTTCTCTCTAGTTCATGCAAACGTATGTCCGAAAATACGAGATTGTGAGCATATCTGGTATTTTGATTCATTTACAGCTGGTTTTTAGACGTACTGAAAATGCTTAGGTAAATGTAATCGATGCTGCAGCATCGGATTGAAAACGTCAGCAATGGTGAGATTAGAAGAACTCGTGGCGCACACTGCGATTTCGATGTTTAATTCCACGTGGTTCTCGTGGACGTTACAGAATACCTCCGTTGGTGAGTTTACTAACTTGATAGCTTCACGATTCGTATATGTGATTGTTTGTACATCTGTGAGAGTTTATTTATAATCATTTGTCTTTTATGATTGTTGCTGAACGTGCAAACTGGTTCCTGAGCTTTGAACGCCTGATGATGATGATGTAGTAATTAGTTGTTGGAGCTCTGAGATACCTAGAAAGAATGCCTTTAACTTATTTGTAGTTCGATGTTTTTAGTATATTATGAGCTAGTAGTATCACCGTTGTTGCTTACAAAGCATATAGCAAAAAGAGTGATAGATATGTTGGATTAAAAATCCAATTGTGACTAAATGTAACTATACGTATAGATTAAGCCTAGATTAACTGATCTATAAATTTATTTGGGTTAAATTATTTAGTAAGTGCGGAGCTCCTATGTGCGGTAACTTATTAATTGGGTGATGAAGTCAATTAATAATAAGAGATATATATTAGGGTTGTGATTCAGGTCTATGGGCGGCCTCCATTACTTTTCATATCTCATTATGAAAGTAACGGAAGAAACCTAAGGGTTTTCTCAAGAATAGTTAGAGTTATAGGTTGGTTCGAAGAAAATAAAAAATCCTCCATTAATTTGTAGATCTTGGACTTTTGATAAGTTCAACAAGATATTTGTTGCTTACAAAGCATATAATGAGAAGAGTGATAGATCCGACACATGAAGGCTCGATGCCTTGAAATGTTCTAGAAAATGCATGTGCTAAGGAAGGTAATAGATTTTGGAAAATTAAGCGTGCCCGCCCTAAGGGATGTGACATACATCTAAGGAATGTCACACATTTTGGAAAATTGGTGTGCTGCACCTAAGGAAGGTGATACATTTTGGAAAATTTGTGTCATTTTCCGAACAGTTGTGTCCATTAAATTTTTAATTCAATAGTGGTACATTTCATCCCTTCATCCAAAATGTTTGAGTTTGAAATTTGAATCAAAACCATTGTAAACTTTTGATTAAAGTAAAATGACACCTTCTATGTCGGCGCTTGGCTTCTTGAAAAGCAGTGGAGAATCAAAATTCGTGCAGGATTTTTACATCCTACACACTTCAAATTCTGTAATTTCGATACAACTTGTTTTTTATGCCAAAAATCAAAGCTCCGTTTAGATAGGGGTTTTTGGAGACTTTTGGAATTTTGAAAACTTGGAAAAAATAAAAAGTTAGTACTTCTATTTGATTTGTGTGAGAGAGAAAATTTATTGATGTGATATTTTTCCAAAAAGGAATAGTACCAAATGAATAAAAATTTATAATGTATGGCCATTATTGTCGTTACCCTACAAGACATAATGTGGAAATATATTATTTGGACAACGTGCTAAATGTGATTCAAAGAACTATATGGCCATTATTGTCGTTACCCTACAAGTCACAATCCCAACATAAGGCAGCTGCCAAAATAGAAGCTTAGATCTGAAAGCCCGGATCAAAGTGGATCACAAAATAACTCATAAGATGCACATTTTCCTCTGATGTAAAGTTTAGCGTTTTCCAAGCCTGTTTGCTCGGCAAAGGTTCTGAGATCATTCATGGCATGGTGTTTTATCGATTATTTTCTGAACATAACAAATGGATGAAGCCATCATTCGAAAATGTAGCCTTTTCTCATCATGTTTTTCATGATTTAAGTGGCCTTGGCCTTAAGATTATAATGCTTGTGTTGTTAGGTATTTTGCTTGATACTAGGTTCTGCTTATATGTATATATATATTGATTATATAAACATCTAAACTTGTTGACTTGTGTATTTTTCTTCTCATAAGCTGAAGATTCAAAGGCTTCAACCTGCCAAGTCCATAATATCCTCCAAGTTGACAAATAATATCAGGTATTTTTCATGTTACCTTTTCTTTTCTAAATTCATAGTCAAATCGTACCATTATTAATTTTTTAAAATTGAAATTTAATACATATTTATATATTATATTTATTGTTCATCCAATCAATACATATCAAAACTCTCTAAACTCAAATCAAATTTGCACTCAAAAGAAACACATAACTTCAAACATATCTTAAAATTCAAATAAAAATCAAATTCTAATTTAATTTTTCCGAAACCTCGATAAAGAAATACACCCTTAGCCTTACGGTACTTATGATTCGATGAAAACACACTACAATTTACAATTTAAGTAGAATACCTAGCACATGCACTTAGGTAAACATACATGTTTAATGTATTTGGATTTGAATTGAGAATATTTGATTTGATTTTGTCTATAAATAATAGTTGGTGTGTTATTCTTGTTCCGCTGAAATAAAATAATATTCTCTCCGTCCGGCTCTAAGGGTCCTATTTACCTTTTGCGTTATTGTACTTAATATTATAATTATTCTTATATTTCTATAAGTTTTTGCAAAAATATCATTATAATAGTATTATAAAACACTAATAGAAATATTTTTGTCATTTTTCTTTAATTTGTATCACGTTTCCATATAATAATTAATATTCAAAAAGTAAATAAGATCTTTAAAGCTAGACGAAGTAGTATATTTTTATCGAAAAATCCAAAATAGTAGAAATAGAGTATATAATTGAGATTGCTAGAAGCTTCGGGAAAGAGGATTTGATATGATTAGTACTGTAGAACAGTATTTGTCCACTGGGTCACCCAATTTTAAATGCTTCCCAAAATTCTTACAAGAACAACCGCACACTTGCCTTTCCTAAAGGGATGTATAAAGAATGGTACAAGGCCTTGCCAATGCTTTCAATTAATGTGTCGGAGAAACAAACACTTGATTGATTAACGTTAGACATTAAAAGTTCCCCTTGTAGCCACGTCAGCAAACTGTAGATGGCAGGGAGAATGACACGTCATCACTGAACAAGTCTGCTGTATAGCTCAAAATCGTGGCACTCTTTGGATCAGACCAAACTTTTGTGTTGTTTGGTTTTGCCATGTTTGTCATAGCCATTAATAGGGAGAGCCAAATATCTTAAATCTGAAAATCAAATTTAAAATTTGGTTCGGATTGGTTCAAATTTAATTTTTGATAAATTTCAAATTTTTGGATCTATACCGAACCAATCCGAAATTCGAAATATAATATTTTAATATATATTTTTATTATATATATTTGAATATTTTATTTAAAAAATTATATTTTAATATAAAAAACTCAAAATTATTATTTATATTTTAATATATTTACTTTTATATATTATATATATATTTAATATTATAAAATAATAATAAAATATAAAAGTAATTTACAAATTAAAAAAATAATTAAAAATATTTAGAATTTTGAGTTTTTCAGTTTGGTTTGAATTTTTTATTTCGAATTTTGAATTTTCGGATTCCGATTATTTCGGTTCGATTCGGATTGATTTTTTCAAAAATTTCAAATTTTTGGATAGATTCGAATCCGAACCGAAAATCCGAATGCTCACCCCAAGCCATTAATGTTCGAGAGTTTGGGTTTGCATATAATATAATTAATGGAATCTCCCTTACCTCTCTCTTTTAGAGAGTAATAAACATATCATTACCCTTATTAGCATACGAAAAATATTCAGACAGAATATGGTTCCAAAGAGTTCATTATTGAAATTATATGCTGATAGTTGATAGTTCATATTTTAATAGATATGATGTGTAAACATACATCTTATGTTTAGATGCATAATAGTATGTTTTAAAATTTTATTTAGAGTATTTGTATTATATTAATACAAACTTTATATTATTGATTATGTTCTATATTTGAGGGGCATATTAAATGGTCGGCAATTAGAGTTTTGACTGGTCAATCAACTTGGTGCAAACAATGCATGTTTTTATATAGCACATACATATTAGGCGGATAATACATATTTTTATATAGCATAATATTGTATTGTTTTGTCATCTAAAAGCATGCATGGTGCAATTTATATATTGTTTTGTGTTGTATAGATATGTTTTTTATACTGAAATCAATAATATACCATGTCAGTGGCGGAATTAGCACCTATTTTTTAGGTGCTAAATGTCAGTATAATTTTTCTGATTTAACATTATCTTTTTCAATTCTTCTTATCGCAGTAGCATGGGATGAAAAGAAAAAAAATAAAAAATAAAAAAAATGAAAGCATAACAAAGTGATAATTTATTAATTTAGTATTTTAAGAGGAAAGTTTATTGTAATTATATATAAAATAAAAAAAATAAAAAAAAAATTTGTATACTAAGATAAATAAAATTTGGGGGTTGGGGTTGTTGCCCCTCAACCCCTTCTTAGATCCGTTTTTTAACCATGCTATGTTGAATTTTGTGCTGTCAAAACATTTATTGTATATTGTATTATTATGTAATATAAAATATCTTATCTGTTTTATATACATGTACTGTTAATTTGACCTATTCAGCACCATAATCAATACCTACCGAATGAATTCATTCGGCCTACTAGCAACCGTCTTAATTCAGCTGTTGAATTCATGAGTGTAGTCTTCATAATCGGTCAACTTTGTCTTCAAATTACATGGTTGGCACATGAGCACTCCTCATTAGGTCTCTATTTTTTTATTTTATTTTTATGACGTAGGAATCTGCAGTCGCTATTTGAAATTGCGCACTGGGTAAACTCCCCGTCGAATCTAATACCTTGCAAACCAGATCTCTATTATGCATATAATCTTACGTACACAATGCATGGGTCTCGATCTCATCCGTACACAATGGGTCCATATCCTTAATGAGGAAAGACCCGACCCGACCCAGGAGGATCCAGTTTCAGAACTAAGGGCATATACATAATGCACTAGTGTAGGAGGACCACTTGATACTCCACCAAGGCTTAAGATCTCAATTATCCTCTCTAATTGGGCAGTTAAACCCATAATTAGTCATAATTAGTAGAGCCCACATGGATCTGCTTATAAAAACAAATGCTTGATGAGCTCTCAAAATTACAGACAATCCTCACTCATTGCCTACCTGTCTGTCCTTCATCTTTCTTGGATTACTCCCAAGCTTTTCTTGTTAGAGATTATTAGCTAGAGTGAGAGAGAGAATCTTCAGTATATACATACATATATACATACAAACAGCACAGGTAGATTTCTAGTGTGCTGTTCATTTGACCAGACTAATTGTCTCACAGATTCCTCACAGTTTAGTTAATAAAATAGCACTGTGACTAACATGCAGGTGAGCTTGCACTCTGATTATTTTTAATTTTTTATAGTGTGAGAATCCATCATGTTACTTAATCTCGTTTCTTACATTTATATACATATACATATATATATATATGTATATATATATAGCAGATCCTTATTAGATGCCTTAGTGATGCAGCACAAGAGCCTCCAAGTTCATTCAACAAGAAACAAGAGGATAAAGGTGAGAAAATTCACAATCTATAATGATCCCTTACTATGATCCATTTTATCTTTTTTTGCATATACTGAGTGTGTGGTGTGGTGTTTTCATGATTCTTACAGATCAAAAAGGGATCGGATTGTCGACTCGGATTCGACGAGGATTTGAGCAGAGCGGATTGAACTGTAAGAGCCCGATTCTTCTCTTTCTCTTGAGGCGAATCGAACGCTTCGGAAGAAGGCAGCATAAGATGAAGATGAACACACAAGACAGTGCTCAAAATCCAGAATCATCATCATCTACGGTTAACGTTGTAGGCAATCAAGTTTTACCTGTTTCGGACGCATCTCAGTCATCTTCGTCGTCTAACAAGAAGGAAAAGACAAAAGGCGACAAGACGAAAGCCATTTCGAGAATGAAAGAGCTTCTCAAATGGGCTGCAGCTGCTAAGGCTGAGAAAGGAGGGAAATTTATTAGTCGAAAGGTACAATACAACAATGCGAGAACTTTTCAAACTCATTTATTCTTTAACCCTTAAAGACGGATGTAGAGAGTATTATACAGTGTCTCAAAGATTAGTATATCAAAACTAAACAACATGTTCCACAGGTTTTGCATTTTAGGAACAGCAGGGCAGCATTAAAGGCGACGCCGGACGACGATCAACTGAGCAATGACTCCCCGAAAATCAGCTTCCGATGGGATGTGGAGAGCTGCTCCACCACTTCCTCCGTCTACTCCGCGCTGGCTACGACGGCGGCGGCGGCGTCTTCACTAAGCCGTAACCAGATCCTAAACACTGATTCCTCCGTAACCTCGACTCCTTTACATGTCCGAGACCAGTGCGTTGCTAGATCCGGGAATTGGATCACCACAGATTCTGAATGTAAGGCTCTCAACACTGCACAGTACCACTGCAAGAAAATAGTATATTTGTAACGGAATTTCGTCCCTAAATTTCACGTAGCTAACGTAATTCTATCTATCTCTAACGAAAAAAGTAGATTAACTTTGTCACAATACATACAGTACAAGCATTTGGTCGACATAATTATGTTCTAATGCTTAACTTCGCCGTTGCCCTGCAGTTGTCGTGCTGGAATTGTGATCGTGTTGGGTACTCAAGGCTCATTCTCGACGAAGGACGCAGATGTTACCACGGTACTTAACTAGATCAGATCAGATCAGATCAGATGAATGGTGGTGGTGTTCCATAGTTGAATGAGCTTTTCTGGAAAAAGAACTTTGAAGTTATTAATGACAGCCCTGTAGATGGCAGGCAATAAACTTGTAAGTTCTTAACTTCAAATTTAATTAGAATGTAATGTGTTTGGTGCAATCCCAATTTTATCCAATTTTGGTTTTATGAGTTGTAATTAATCAATCTCATATAATATATTTTCAGAACATACTAGCATCTTAGGTTAACTAGCATCATGTTGAAATCTCTAGTGTAGTATGTGTGATCTATTGTATGATTGTATTGTATTTCTTTAGCACTAGCACATGCAGTAACAATCATAACAAATATTATATATTACATATTATTTTTAGGGCGTGACACTTTTATTGCAAACTAGCCCCGACAAGATAAGTCGTCTAAGTGAACTTAGAAGCGTCGGGAGTTTAAACTCATAATCTCATAGTTAACCAAATTTTCTCTCATACCACCGGGTCATTCTACTTTCACTCACTATTGCTCACTAGAAACTTTTTCTCCTTTTAGGTTCAAAATAACTTAGTGGTGTGGAGATAAATTTGTAATCGTGATGTCATTAATCCAAATCTCCGAGACCTCGTGGTGTTAAAGTCGAAAGTTTACCTAAAACGCATCGGAAGAGTAACAACTGCGAGAAAATATGTATCACATTTTGAATAATTCAAAGTACAACATTTATGTTGTGTAATATAGAAAGACTTCTTCCAATTTTACATTAACATTATGTTGTATGTAATGTAGTAATTATTTTTCTCAATTGCTAAATCGTTGCATATAGATTGTTTTTTTTAAAATAATAATAATAATACTAAAAACAAGAAAATATATTTCTATATTTGTATTTGTATTTAAATGATAGTTTGATATCAAATTTTCAAATATATAAGCTCCATAACTTCCAAAATTACTTAAAATATATGTAAAAAAAATAATAATAATAACTGAGTAATTACCAAATTTGTGGAGTCTCTCACAGAGTCTTACTATTCCTTCTCCAACGTAAAAACTGCCAAATGAGACAGACACGGCGTACCGATCAACGCCTTACGCCTTGTTTGCTTCGCCCCTCATATTCCTAAATCTCTCCGCCTTATCGTCCGCCAACCTTAAAATCCAAACAAACACTCCCTCACCACCACATCTCCGCCATGAACAACATCCCCAATTCAATTACAGTCCCACCTCCGCCGCAGCCGCAGCCGCCGGCGCCGTCCGGTTGGGACATCCTCGGACCCGACCTCACAGAACTCATCCTTTCCCATCTTTCCGACATCCCCGCCGTCCTCCGATCAGCCGCCGTCTGCAAACAATGGAATTCCATCATCCACTCCCACTCCTTCAAAACCCTATTTTCTCGCCGGCGCCGCCGCTGGCTCTTCCTCTCCGACGACAATCACGCCGCCTGCGCATTCGACCCCGATTCCGACCGTTGGATCACTCTCCCTAGTCCGATCGCACCGTCGAATTTTCCGGCGAAACTCGACCCTCCGTTTTCCATGCGCCACCGCGTGATGGAAACGTACACCGAACCAGGCTGCCCTAATACTGTCAGGATCATCCTCGCCGGCGGCGGCGACGACGGCCTCGCCGCCGAGATTTACACCGCCGAATTCAACTCGTCGGAAAAATTGGCGCCGCTCCCCGGAATATTCCGGCCGGCGAATGGAACCCTCTCCTCAGCAATACACAACCAAAAATTCTACGTCCTGATTTCCCGGCAGGGTTTTCTCTCGTCGTTCGACTTCCGGACAAGGCGGTGGAGCGCCGTCCGGACAGTGAAACCCGCCGGAGCTGTAATGACGCGCCTGATTTCCGGCGACCAGGATCGCCTGATTTTAGCCGGACTGTGCTGTCTGAACGGCGCCATGGAATTCAATCTGTGGCGAATCGACGAGGAAAGCTTGGAATACAGAGAAATAGCGGCGATGCCTGAGGAATCGGTGTCGGAATTATTGATTAGGAAGGATTCGATTTGGGGAGAGGAGAGGCTGAGATTCGCCGGCGGCCGGAATGTGGTATACGCGATGGAGACGGTGAGAGGGGAGATTTGTGAAATCCGGTGGAGGCCTGGAAAATGGTGCAGGTGGAGAAAGATTCCAAGATTCCCTGTGGATGAGGGAATATTCCGGGGGGTTTCGAGGTTTTACTGTTCCGGCGTGTCTTTGAAGGATTTTCTGACGTCGAAAGAGAAGACGTGGCTGATAGATAATATTAATGTGGTGGTGGGTTTTTCTTAAGGTATATTTATATAATCCCTCCGTCCACGGATAAAGTATACGTTTACTTTTTTACGCGGAGTTTAAAAAATAATAGTATTTTAATTATAGTGGGTAGATAAAAGTAGTGTAATGATATTTTTGTCTTTTAAGAAATAATAATATTTTAATTACAGTGGGCAGGTAAAAGTAGTGTAATGACATTTTTGTAAAAGTATTTGTAAAAAAAAATGGGGTATCCAGTGAAATAGTTACTTTGTAATTGGACGTTCCAAAATAAAAATATATATACTTTATAGCTTGGACGTCTCAAAATAAAAATATATATACTTTGTAACTTGGACAGAGGAGTATAAAATATATATCATATGTATATACATACAAGGAGTGTATATATATATATATCAGTTTGGTCTTTGGTGAGAGGGCGTGAAGAATGGGTCGAAAAAATGCGCTGAGGATCCCATCCGGTTTGGACAGTTTTGGTAGAGTTGTGACCCGATTTGAATTCGACCAATTTTAACGGGTTGGACTTAATTATTTGGGTCTGGCCGGCCCGGGGAGATTTGAGAGGGTAATCCTGCTTCTGGCTCTAAGTTCTCTCGTATTAATTTTTATATTAAAATATAAGTATAAATTAAAAAAAATTGTAAATATATTTTCATTAGGGTATTATAATATTAATATAAATATATTTGTAAAAATTATACAAATGTAAGAATTTTTTAATGCTAAGTATAACGACGAATGAAATATTTTTTATTCTCATTGTAAACTTAGATGCATTTGATTTAATGCAAAGTATTTTTATAAATATAATAAATAATGTTTAAAATACAAATAAAAATTAATAATAATATATTATAGTATTATAATTAGAATAAATATAAATATTTTTTTATAATAATAAATTATGTTTTATAAAATTAAATATAAATATCAAATAAATAATTACAATACGCAATAAATGAAGTATATATGGATGTGTAAAGTATGTTTGTTTGAGAGTCTGTATTTTGAGTTGAAATTTAAATGATACTTCTTTTGTCTCATGTAATATGGGTGTATTACTGTAACATTGGAATTTAGGCAAAGTATAATTAAGAAGTATATTAGTAAAAATAATTATTATTTAGTAAAAATAATTATAGATTAGTTAAGATAACTAAATAGTTTAATTAAAATTAAGAAAATTATAAAATTTAAAATTTAAAATGCGATTAAAGTGCATAATTATATTTCCAAAAATAGAAATGACAAGTTATGTGGGAAGGACGAAAATAGAAAATAATGACAAATTATGTGGGACGGAGGGAGTAAAAATTTTGAATTGAAATAAATAGGTATTGATGTGAAATTTTAAATGTAAAATTAATTTTTAGACATCTTCAGTTCATTACTTTATTTTTTAGCTACAGCGAAAACCTTTTACCTGAATTTGACCCGTATAATTAAACGAGTTGATATTTGCAACATTAACCTGATATTTTATTAATCGGATCAATCTAAAAATTTTAATTTAATATTGTAATTTCTACTAACAAAATTTTCAAACAAATAATATATATGCATATTAAAGTAAAAACTATTTATTCATATCATAAAATTGATATATAACATATTAATACATAACACAATTCTTTGTGTAATCCCAACTTTATAGAATTTTAACTTAAATTTTATTTTATTTTCATAAGTTTTTCATGAATATTTAAATTGGATTGGCAAAATTTAAAAAATATATTTAAATTTAAAATAATATTAATTAAACATATTAGATGAATTATTTTCATATTGAAATTGTAGACTTTAACTCATTTAATTATATGAGTTATACAAAGTTGTCTCGATTATTAATTGGGTCCAAATCCAATTCGGATCAGGTTCGGTCGGACTATCGACCCAAACCCAATTAGTTGGTCAAACATCTCAACCAAACCTACTTATTCCTACACGCAAACACCACTCCACGCCGCCGCCTCTCCTTTCTTCCCCCTTCTTTCTCCCTCCTTTCTTCGTTATTTTCTCCTTATTTTTTTTTTTTTCAATTCTAAGTTTTCCGCCGCCTTTCTCACCAAGACAAAGTCTTCCGCCGCCCGCCGCCTTTTCAGACTTCCGAGCGGAGTCCAGTACCAAAATAAATACTCTCAGTCACACGAGAGCACGTACCGTAATTTTAAAAATATTAATATTATATTAAAATATAGTAGGAATAAAATAGAAATGATTAAAATAATCTTATTAATATGTATAATATATTATAAGTTGTAAAGATATTTATAATGATAGATAGATAGTACAAGTATGGACGGACTAAAATAGAAAAATAGATAATCTGAAAAAATTCTCACAAACAAACACGGCCTTAAATGATAACAGTATATTAACGGGCAGTGTGGGCTGTGTAGAAACAACACACAGACAAAACTGACACGCCTTAAATGAGTATATTTATTAATAGACCGAAAGCTATCCGAAGCCCAATAAATAAATAATAAAAGCCATCCACCAAATCTATCTAACTCCCAAACAGTACCTACCGTCTTCCTCGACAAGCACCCATCGTCGTCGCAGATGTCTCCCGAAATTCTCGTAAGTTACACTCCTTTTCTTCTCTTATAGATGGATGATCAATGATAATTCCTAGTAGCTAGAACATTTCAAGCATTTGCACCAATTTCGATATTCTACATGTTTCCTATTCTCTAATTTCATTCTCATCTCGGAGATAATTCGGAATTCACCGTTTCGGTGCGTAATTTGGCTAATATATTCCAAAATACACCACCGTAGATGGATTAGCTTGATTCAGTTGTTGATTCGGAAAACATCGCCGGCGTAATTTGTTTAATATTTTCCGAAACACACCGCCGTAGATGGAATAGCTACAGGCTTGTTTACTCAGTTGTTGATATTGTATGCGTAATTTGGTTAACATCTTCCTAAACACAACGCCATAGATATTAGCTTTAATTAGTCGTTGATATTTAATTCAGATACGTACCTGCGAAGCACGCTAGTAGCGTTTCGATCTTCACTTCAGCATCAATGGCGAGCAAAGAGCCGCTGATTATCACAGGCAAGGAGGAGATGCGACGGTGGTCGAGGGCGGCGCGCGCGGAGGGGAAATCCATTGCATTAGTCCCTACCATGGGGTATCTCCACCAAGGTCATCTAACCCTAATTCGAGAGTCTCTTAGATACGCAGAGGCAATCGTGGTATCGATTTATGTAAATCCAGGACAGTTCTCTCCCACCGAAGATCTTTCGACATATCCGTCGGATTTTGTCGGCGACATTCGGAAATTGAGGTCGATTTCCGGCGCCGGCGTGGATGTCGTCTTCCACCCGAAGGATCTGTACGGCTACGGCCGGAGCAATTCGTCGAAAATCGATGAAAACAGAAGTGAAGGAGAAGTGGTTTCGTGTGTGGAGAAGAGTGGGAATGGGCACGAGACATGGGTGAGGGTAGAGAGGCTGGAGAAAGGATTGTGTGGGAAGAGCAGACCTGTGTTCTTCAGAGGCGTGGCCACCATTGTTGCCAAGCTTTTCAACATTGTGGAGCCTGATGTTGCTGTGTTTGGGAAGAAGGATTATCAACAATGGAGGATCATACAGAGAATGGTAGTGATCATGATTGATTGATTCCAGTTCTTCATTAGTTATATAAGGAAGAACATAGAAGTGAATCATTGATTCAATCGATTGTCGTTGTGTTTTAGGTGCGAGATCTCGATTTTGGAATAAAGGTGGTTGGAACCGAGATAGTTAGAGACGACGATGGCCTTGCCAAGAGTTCGAGAAATGTGCGTCTATCACCGGAGGAGAGGGCAAAGGTATATTCTTAACTGAATTCCATGCCAAGATTTTCCTATGGTTAGAGTGCTAAATATTTCTAAAAGTCTATCTGAGTCCTAAGTTAGAGATCAATTATCCATCGGCAGGCATTGTCGATTAGTAAATCGCTTTTCAGCGCTAAACTTGCCGCAGAGAAGGGTCAGGTGAATTGTCAAGAGCTAATAAATTCCGTTGCGCAATCTATAACCAAAGCAGGCGGAAAAGTCGATTACGCAGAGGTGAAACACATGATAGAAATTATAGTAATTCAAGGTTATATATAACAACACTCCGTAAATCATTATATATTTTGGGTGTTTTCTGGCAGATTGTAGATCAAGAAAATTTGGATCTGGTGAAAGAGATCAAGAGCCCAGCTGTATTCTGCGTCGCGGCATGGTTTGGGAATGTTCGGCTAATCGACAATATGGAAATCAACATTTAACAGAGAAACCATAATTGCTTTGAAAAATAGGTACCAGAAACTTATCCTAATTGAGTTCTTGAAGCAATGGCTATGATTTATGAACTACAGCTACACGATAACCTTAGGTTAACTTATTTCGACATTTTCAACATTCATGTATCTCGGGTTTCTTCAGAATTGCATTTATGTAACTTCTTTAAGTTTTCTGAATAGGATGCCCATAATTACAAACTCAAAATACAGTATATATATATGTAACAAAGGGTAAAGTGGATCATAATATTTCATTATACATAACAAAAAGCTAACCAAGCAACAAACAAGAATAGGTACGGCAGGACACAAAATGAAAGAACGCATTACTTGTTGCATTTGAACCCTCCACAAACTGACAACACTATGATAAGTATTAAGGCGATGATGATACCGAGCACAATCAGCTTTATCTTCATGTTCTGCAACCACATCTTTCTCCTCATCTTGGTTCCCTGTGTCCTGAAATCTTGTGCCTATCATCACAGATATTGGTTATCAGTATTAATTGTGTGGTCGAAGAGGTAAAAGTGTTCGATAGGAATCAATTAAAAAATACTTGGTGACAGATAGGAATCAATTAAAAAATACTCGGTGACAGACCTGAGACCGAAGATTTTCAGTTTTATCCACCAAAAGCTCGATTTTCTCTCCGCGATCAAGAACCTACACAGGCCAAGTGGTTATTGTTGAATGAAAGGGAACATTCGGACAATCTTGATCTGGTCCAGCAAGTACCTTCTCGATGTTTTCCATCATCACCCCTTTGACCTCTGAAACCTGAGCTTTTACTTTGGAAAGCTTGTTGATCTCCTCTGGATGATCGATGCAGTATTGCATTTGCTCCTTCAATTTGGGCCTAGTTTTGGGGATCATGCCACGAGGATAGTTCGTTAAGTAATCAACATTAAGAATCAGTGTGCAGCCAAAAGAATGTGTAAAATTACCCAAATTCTCTATTCAGGCTGTTTGCAACAGCAGTTGCAGCCTTGCCACCACCATATTTTTTGGTAAATTCCTCCTTGATTCGCTCGAGAAATGCAATGGGAATTTGTCTACCAATGGATTCGACAGCCACAACACAATATGCTGTCAATCAAGAACATAATCAAGGAAAGGATGGCAAAGTTAATTAAGAACCACCCTCCGCAAGTATTCTAAATAACGACAGGATTTCTGTTGCGTAGGAAATCATAATATTGAATCTGTTTAATAAGCTCAGAATATATAATACTATCTCAACTTGATACTTGATTACCCAATACTAGAGATATGATTAACACAGACAGAATGTTCAATAAAACTATGTTCCTCATATATCCATCACAATATAATGAGAAATGAGAAGGAAAAATCATTTAGAGAAAATCACGAGGCAACATCAAGTTTTGGAGTATGAGTAACATTAGCACGCCTCGCATATGATTCCTAAAGTTAAAGCAGGTGAATAGTTCAATTTTCAAAACCATTGGAAGCACAAGATATGAAGCTTGAGCAACCGTCCAACCAAAAATTGGAAATGATGCTATCGAACATAACTCAGCTATGTAAAGTAAGTTCTTCACAAAATTCTAAATAATGTTCCAATTAAGATCAAATTCAAGTTACCAGCAAACTACGATTTAATCAAATAAGTGTAGAAAGCGCCATATCTAAAACCAATTCTACACGAATAACAGTCCACTCACAATCAAAACCTACAAAACACAACCATTCAACTAGGATCTATCCTCCTCACCAAACGAATTTTAAAAACTCAAATAGTAACACAAACAAACAGCGTCAAAATCTCCGAGAACCGATCGCCAAGCCAAACACAGATGCAGCAACACAAACAATCGAATCGAAGAAACGAATCTAAACACAAATGAGCAAAAACAACAGATCAGAGACAGCGCAGCTTACTAAATCCATCCTCGACGAGATAATTGAAGGTGTGGCCATCACAGTTGTACGTGAACTTGTTATTTGTGGCCGGAAGCTTCTGCAGACACTGCGCCGCAATTCCGGTGAAATTCCCGGTGAACTCGGTGTATTCCGCCAGGATTACCGTCCCCCGCGCCACGAAACTGTAGATCAACGACTGCTGCCCCATCTGTGCTCCTCCTTCTCCCTCCGATAAACCCTAGACCAAATCGATCCCGCAGAATCGGTGGGAGCAAAGGAAGGAAGGAAGGAAACGAGCGCAGAGAAAAATGAAACCACGAAAAAAATAAAAGGGACACGCTATTTATATGAGAGAAAATTCCGTCAAAGAAGATGCAGCGTCACGGTGTCGACCACTGGACCTTTCCTCTTTTGAATTTTGAAGCCTCATCTGGCTTGTGATTTGTCCAAATTAACCCTCGTAGACCTATAATTTTCATCTATGCCATCGTGACCAAAAGAACGTTGTATTGACCTTATTGAAGAAAATGATTTTTCAAATTAAATTATTGCTCTTTTTACTTTTATTTTACGAAGTTTCTTAGGGTGGGATAAATTGACGAAATAATAATAATTATAACTTATACAACTAAAGTCGTAGACGGAAATAGCGACTTTGCCCTGAGTTGAATATACGATTTATGGTGGTGTACTTTTTAATTATTTTTTATTTTTAAAAACAAAAGGGATGCAACTTTGCAGATTTTATTTAGATATATTGTGCAATTAGTAATTATTATTGTAGTAAAATGTAACACAAAATATTAATTTAACATATTATAAAAAATAAAAATAAAGGAAAATCCAAAACTTATGGATGAAGATTTGTTGAGAGTTAAGACAACCAACTTATTATTTCATAATATGTAATAATTATTATTATTAGTATTATTATTATTGGGATAATTATAAGGTGAGACGGGACACGACAGCTCAGTGTAGGCTAACTGAAAAGTCGTTCTAACGATTACTGTTGCTTTAGAACCACGCTTTTTATATCCTATTGAAAGAGTCAATAATTTCGGATATTTAAAATAATAAAAGAAAAAAGATATTGGGGTGAGAGAGTCTCGAACTCTCGACCTCAGGATAACTCTTTAGCTATGAGACCTACGCGCTAGCCAACTGCGCCACCACCCCTTTTGTCACGTAATTTATTAATTTTCATAATTAATCATATATAGGCCTAGTTAGATCCCAGGCCCAAAAATTATTGTGGCCCTAGGGTAAATTTACATTATAAGAAATTTAATTGAAAAATTTAACCCATGTAAGAGCATATAGAATGCATTGATACAAAGGTCCAGCAATAATTTGTTAGGTTTTGTTGTTGTGTATATATATATATATATGTATATTTTATTTATTTTTTTCAATTTCAAAAAAAAAAAAAAAAAAAAAAAAAAAAACATGACAATATCCATGTTGCATCGGCCCAATGCTTTAAAATTCATGTAATACTTACAGGGTGTATTAATTTATATTTTTATTTTTTGAAGTAAATTTTATAACTGGTAATAGAGACTATTTCCTCTCTCCCAAATCAAATCAAATGAGTATTTTGAGATTTTATAATATATTAAAAATATATATATTTGATTAGTTAGTGAGAGTTTTAAAAAAATTTCGATAGTTTCATCATTTGATATTATGTATAAAAAAATTGATGTGTAATAGTATTTTGTAATTGAAGTAAAAATTAAAAAGTATTTTGATAATTACTTTTTTTTAAAAAAAAAGTAAAAATATAAATAGATTTAAAAAAATAATATTTTAAATTAGAACGGTATATTTTCAACACTTTACATGCTCTAAGTGGAAACAACCCTTTGACTGAAAAGTTGGTGATTGATTATTTACCTATAAAGGCAAATCTGTTGTATATAGTTATTTGTGGAAAGTTATTAGGATAAATAACTTTTTAATTAATATTTTATAAGAGAAAAATAGTATTTCCATTTGATATATCTTATAATATTTTTTTATTATGATTTGTCTTACATATTTTATAATATTTTAAAATAAAAAATAATTAATTATATTTTATCACATCATATAATTTAAATAAAAAATTACTTATTTTTCAAGTTACATCACTTAATTATCAATTTATTCTATTTAATATTATATTTTTAAATTCTCCTGTTCAAAATTAAATATTTCACCATATATGAGACAAAGAAATATATATATATTTTTTTATTGAAATTGGGTAAATATATTTTTATATATGGATCGGAGTATGTTTTTATTTCTGTTCTTAAAGTAAATATTATTTATAATATTTATATGAAAAGTAAATATATTTTAATTGAAAATAATAAAAAAATTAAAAATAAAAAGAAGACAATATTCTATTTCAAGTCTGATCTTCATAATCCATTATAAGAATGAATTTTTTATATATATAAATAGTTTGAGATCAACTTCAGACTTTAAATAAGGGACTAGGAATAATTTTTTCAGATTAGAACTTTGAACGAGGAATCTCAAATAATTGATAAAAAAATAAAATAAAATAAAATAAACAATTAAAATAATAATAATGTGAGGAGAAAAGATAGCGCAAACATGTGACTGCCGTGCTCGAACTTTGTCTTAAAATGTTCAGTAATATTTATTAATGTTTGTTAAATGATAGAATTTATTATTTTATGTTTTAAATTTATATGCTCCCTCCGTCCCATATAATATGGGTGTGTTACTGTAAACACGGGAATTTAAGTAAAGTATAATTAGTAAGTAGTTAAGAAATGTATCAGTAAAAATAATTATAAATTAAGATTAAGATAAGTAAATAATTTGATTAAAATTAAAAAATTATAAAATTTAAAATGCGATTAAAGTCCATAATTATATTTCTAAAAATAGAAAGGACAAGTTATGTGGGACGGATGAAAATAGAAAATATGGACAAATTATGTGGGACGGAGGGAGTATTACATTCGTTCCGAGCAAAGTATTCGATTGTTTTCTACATACAAAAATTTAATATTAATATTATATTTATATATTTTCTCCGTCCAATTTCTATTATCCTAAAGTATATTTGCACGGTTCTTTAAGTGATTGTCTTTTTGTTATGAATCGACAAATTTGTCCTTAATTGTATGGTAGAGATTAAAAGTAATAAATGAATGGAGAGTAAAAATATAAAATTTAAGTTTAAAAAAGAAAATTAAACAATAGTTGTTGGACGTCCCAAATAAAAAAGTATAACATTAGTTTGTGAACAGAGTATAATATAAATAAAAAATAAAAAATACTCGTATTAATACAATATATAAAAATAATAATATTTGTATAAAATAGTTATAAAATATAAAGTCAAAGTAAAAAACCTTCAACTCTTTAATCCATAGGTCATACAATTATTTTATAATACATCAGGACGCTATAAGGACTCATTTATTTGAATATTATTTATTATATCAAAATATAGTATAAATTAAGAAAAAATTACAAAAATACTTTCATTAGTGTCTTGTAATATTAATAGAAGGACATTTATATAAAAAATTATACAAATATAAGAATATTTTTAATATTAAAAACAATGACGCAAAAGACAAATGTGATGTTTAGAGACGGACGAAGAAAATACATAAAATCAAATGATAAAAATGTCGAAAATTCTTACACACTTTCAATAATCAATAAAATATTATTCTCTCCGTCCTAATACAATAGTCTTATTTACTATTCTTTTCCGTCCCAAAACAATAGTCTCATTTCCATAAATAATCATATCACCATAAAACTATTCTTATTTTTTCATTATTATTACACAATTGTCACTATTTTTTACACTAATATACTCACAAGGACAAAAAAAGTCATTTATCTTTATTTTTTACCAACTACCAATATAATATCAATATTTTTTAAATCTCGTGTTCAATATAATAAGACTATACTTTTGGGACGGATGAAGTATTATTTTTTAATACTCCATTCGTCCACACACAAAGTAAACATTTACTTTTGGCGCGGTGTTTAAGAAATAATAGTACTTTAATTATAGTTGGTAGTTAAAAATAGTAAAAGGATATTTTTGTCCTTGCTTTTTTTTTGTGTAAAAGTAATAATTAGATGTAAAATAAGGGTATTTGTGGAAAACAGTAACATATTTAATAAAATAGGGTAAACTGTTTTTTTAGTCTCGTAACTGGACCCCTTTATCATTTTAGTCCTGTAAGTAGAGCATGTCGCAAACTAGTCCCATAAGTGAAAAATTTTCGTTGTTTTAGTCATTCGGCGCCGGAGACGCCCACGTGGCTCGCCGGATGTGACGTGTCTGCCAGGTGTCCCGCCAGGTCAGCGACACCTGGCGGACACGTCGATTTATTATTTTTTATTTTATTTTATTTTTTAAATTCTTTAAAAAAAATTTTAATTAGACCAAATAAAAAAAATACAAATAAAATTTAAAATAAATTAAAAATAAGTTTTTAAAAAAATTTAAAAAATAAAAAAATAATAAAAAAAATCCATGTGTCCGCCAAGTCAGCGACACCTGGCAGACACGTCACCTCTGGCGAGCCACGCGGGCATCTCCGGCGCTGGATGACTAAAACAGCAAAAAAATTTCACTTGTAGGACTAGTTTGCGACAGGCTTCACTTACGGGACTAAAAAAATAGTTTACCCAATAAAATATTTATTTTATAATTAAATATTCCAAAATAAAAATATATATACTTCCTAGTGGCACAGATAGAGTATCTTATAATTTTACACGACAGTATCAACAAATTTCTTCAAAACGGGTTTTGGTACTTATATGTACAGGAGTATATTTTAAACTAACAAAAAAAATTTCTATCGCTAATTTCCATTACAAAATTACAGTGTTTTTTGTTTTTTTAGTGGATGATATATTAAAAACACACCTTTATTTGTTGCTGCAAGTCCAGCTGTCAAAAATTGAATATAAGATTTGCCAAATCCCCCAAACGTATATTTTATTGATATAAATTCCAGCAGACATGAAAAGATTTGATGGAAATAGTATAATATATTATATATAAATATAAATATATGTACGTACGTCTGTGTGTCTATTCAGAGGTAAGCACGTCACAGTCATATTCATATGGTCTATTGCCTTGTCTGCTGACGTCATTTCATTTTTACACCACATGATGCCTTGCTCTTCTCTTTATTACAATTATTTTACTTTTTAATGGTTTTATTTTTTTTCTACTATTTTTATTTTTATCAGTTAACTTTTATTTATTTTTTAAAAATTTTAATTATATTTTAAATTATACTCCCTCCGTCCTAA